CTTTCTACTTACGATTTTTGTTCATATTATAGTTTCTTTATGAAAACAATAAGTGTTTTGATTGAGGTTGATGGGTAGATTTGTAAAACCAATTTTATGCTGTCATTCAAACTATATAATTCAAACTATTTCTAAACTATATAATTTCTAACAAATTATCTGTAGATTATTTTGGGTTTTCTGTGAAGATAATAACTGTTAAGGATGACATAAAGTTCTCTTTCTTCACTACACTGGGTAGGGCTTACTATACAGTGATGAATAGAAACTATAATAATAAGTATCCTTGTTTTGCTCTTGATTTTAAAGGGAATTTCCACTTTTTCCCATCAGGAATGAACTCTCTCTATGAATATACTTTTCAGATTTGGGATACTCCCTTCCATACTAAATTTTCTAGTAGTTTTTATAGTGCTTGTGTATTAAATTTTATCAAACACTTTTTTCTGTAAGCGCTATTCTCGCTTATTTATTTTAAAAATATCTGTCAATATGGTGAATGACATTTAAAGATTTTCTAATGTAGAACCACCCTTGCATTTCTAGAATAATCCAACCTGGTCATAATTTATAATCATTTTTATATAAATATAGATTTGATTTGCTAAAATTTTCTGTAGGATATTTGAAAGTAACTTCATTTTATAGGTAGAATGGCCTGCAATTTTCTTTTCTCAAACTATCTTTCTTTAGTTTTTGGTATCATGTTTACTGGACTCTTAGCATGAGCTGGGGAGAATCTTCCCCTTTTTCTTCTCTGGTAGAATTCTTGTAGCTATCTGAATCATCTGGGCTTAGGGTTCTTTTTTGGTGGGAATACTTCTAAACTCTGTTTCAGTTTCTTTATTAATTATAGGATATCTCAGGCTTTCTGTTTTGTTTGTTTTGCTTGAGCCAGTTTTATTGAATTAATGTTTTTGTTAATAAATTTTTAAGATTTTCAAATTTATTGTATGTGTTGATAATGAAAATTCTGTTCCCATATTTTTCTTTTCTTCACAAAGATTATGTCCCCATTTTTATTTGTATTACTTTTTATGCCTTCTCTCTCTCGCTCTCTCTCTTTTTCTTGGTAATTCTATCTAGAGGATTTTCTATTTTTGAGTCTTTTCAAAAACCAGTATTTCAATTTGTGGCAATATTTTTTCTGTTTCTGGTTACTTTTAAGATGTTCTTTTGTCTTACTGATCTAAAGATACACTGAAATGTGATTAGGTCTAGATTCACTTCTAAACTTATACTGCTTAGAAATTGCAGTACCTTTTCAATCCAAGGACTTGTGAATTTCTTCAGTTTTGGAAAACTAACAGCTTGAGCTCTTTGAATATACCTTCTTCACCATTCCTTGAATTATCTTCTGGAATTCCTGTTAGACATATTTTTAGAGTCTTTTGATTTATTTTCCTTGCTTCCTAACCATTCTTTCATATTTTGTATCACTTTATCTTTTTTGTTATGTTCCGGTTGAGTTCTTCAGTAATGTCTTTATTCTGTATAGAATGAGTTGTTTCCATTGAGTTTTAAGAGTGAATTCAGATCGGGCGCCTGGGTGGCTCAGTTGGTTAAGCGACTGCCTTCGGCTCAGGTCATGATCCTGGAGTCCCGGGATCGAGTCCCACATCAGGCTCCCTGCTTAGCAGGGAGTCTGCTTCTCCCTCTGACCCTCCTCCCTCTCATGCTCTCTGTCTCTCATTCTCTCTCTCGCAAATAAATAAAATCTTAAAAAAATAATAAATTAATTAATTAAAAAAAAAGAGTGAATTCAGATCATTCTTTTTCATGTCTATCTGTTCTTGTTTTATTTCTTTGTTTCAGATTTCTTGTTCTGATCAACATTGATCTCATTTCTTCCTCTGAAGATTATAAATATTTTTGTTTTAAAGTCTTCTTTGGACACTGTTCTGTTTTCATTTTTTTTTTTTTTGAGAGAATCCATGCTGACCATCAATTTTGTTGTCTTTCATACCTTTTTTGAGTTTATATTGCTCACTTCCCATGCATAGTGGTCTTTCCCTTCCACTCAGTATTGTACTTGGGTTGCCTCCACCTTGCATTTTTTTTTTCTTTTTAAAAGATTTTATTTATTTATTTGACAGAGAGAGACACAGCAAGAGAGGGAACACAAGCAGGGGGAATGGGAGAGGGAGAAGCAGGCCTCCCGCAGAGCAGGGAGCCCGATGTGGGGCTCGATCCCAAACCAGAGCCAGGTCCTTCCTCGAGGATTCGTGTGCTGTTTGGCTCAGGTCATAGGCTGCATTTATGTACTCCGACTCTCCAGGCATGAGCCCCACATGAGCCATAGACATCAGCAGCAGCTTTTCTCACCCTGCTTTTCATGGTAGTAGAGCTTAGCCAAGGTTCAAGGAAGAAACTTGTCTCTGACTTCTGTCTCAGATAAATAAGTGCATTTGAACTATATATTGCCACAGGATCCAAATTCCTAGCTACCTGTTTCTGCTTCTCCAGGTCCGACAGATCTTTGGGTTCATTCTTGCTTATCTTCTTGCATTTCTTTTCCTTTTCTAATCTTGAAAGTATGTGATTTCCAGTTCACCTCTTGAACCAGAAATGTCTGGATCTGACCTATAACCAGGGTCAAGTTGGCTCCCCCTTCACACAATGACATTTAATTTGTGTGTCCTATGTAATTATGCATTCATATTTCAAAGACTCCATGAGGCCACAAGCTCTTCCTTAGAAATGGTGGTCTTTTCTGAGTCATGTTTTCAAGGATTTCCTTTCTCATAACCTATGATTCAGATGTTTAACATGAAAACAGCACATCCACTGTGCTAGCTGGAGGAGCTACTTTTCAATCTAGCTCTGCTTTTTACTGGGTTGGTAGTCCTTGGGAAGTATTTTGCTACATTTCACCTTTATTTTCTAATCTGGAACTCTGTAGGAATGTTAGGAAAATTAAACAGCATGTTATCCATGAAAGCACTGTAAAAGTATTAAAGATGGAAATGTGTAGCTATATGTCTCATGTATATTGAAAACATTGGAAATATATCCAACTCAAAATATCCATCTGTGTAGTTGAGTTTTATTTCAGGAAGCCATTCTTTGATATATTCATTCAACCAATATTTACTGAGCAGCTGCTATGTACCAGGCTCTGAGCTAGGTACAATGAGATGATAGGGCCCGGTATGGTTAGATCTCCCACATGTTTTAATTTTCTTCTAATGGGGAGACATCTCATTTGTCTAAATATACAACTGTATTGTTAATAACAGGCAGAAACAGATTGTGAGGAAAACGGGGAAGCTGAGATAGAGACTAAAAACTCTTAGTCACTTTGGCACATCTGCTCTTTACACTGGTGTTTTCTTGGTTTAAGTGATGACGTACTTAAATGACTGGGCCAAGTCAACAGATTAGATATTTTAAAACCTTTATTTTCACAAAAATTAGCTATCTGGCACAGCATGACTTTGTATTTCTGTATAGTGAGTGCAACAATACAATCTCCTCTTCTCTCTGTATTTAGTTTTGACTGTCAACCTATACTTACGCTCCTCTCCTGGATTCTATTCTCTTGCAGGAGATAGACCCCTTTCAGAGAGAAGGAAGGGGTTAGATCCTTGTTAGTTCTGTGCTCTGTGGGTCCTTAACTCTGACCTTCATAGGACCACAGTTGACACAGATGAAAGGAGCTGTGGCCCGGATAGCCAAGCAATCTTGCAGCCATACTGACTATCCTATAGGGCAGAAGGAACGAGAAATTAACTGAGCCAGGCATCTTATGGCTTTGATTTAGTGCTTGCATATTATATAGGTAACCGTAAGGGTTGATGCTAAATGTTACTGTGATCAAGGCTTGGAAAATCCCGCCCAGTGATTGTTCAGCCCCCGAAATGAGGAACCAACCATTCTTCCCTTAAGCAGTTGATGACGTTCTTGTAATTTTATGATTTTCTTTTCCTTAAGCCTTCTCCTTCCAAATGTACTTTTTCCCCCTTTTCCTTTTTAGCCTGCATCTACCTTTCCCAGACTGCTTCTTGCAAAGGAGTGCTTGTTTCCAATGAGGCTGCCTTTCCTTGGGATTAAGTGTCCATAGGCAAAGCTGAGCTGTGCCTGCCTGCTGGGCCGCCATGGGGATCTGAGTGGGCAGGGAAAGGGGCAGGGCAAAGGCCAGAGGGCAGGAGGGAGAGTGAGCCTCTACCTGTCCTTGACAGATGGCCTCAGCCTGGTTGCTTTGTTTCTCATCACCTCAGCCCCTTTGAAGGGTTGGGTCAGGCCTCATGAGCAGTCTTGACCGTGACAGCAACCACTTCGTTGCCACCCTGGGCCACTGCTTGCATGTGCTGCGCAGTAGAGGAAGGAAGCAGTTAAGAAGTCAGGGTGCTTAGCAGTGTTCTAAGTTTAGCCCTCCAAGGAAGCCTTTCAGACAGTCTGGCTTCCCCTTTTTGCTGTGACAAATACATAGGTGTACAGCAATAAACACAGCTTTAATGCCCCAGGCTTACAGAATGATGCTGTTTGCTAAACATTTACTAAGCTCTAGTCACTGTTCTGAACATTTTACATCTACTAACTCTCCTAATTCTGAGGAAAATCCCAGGGTTTCGATTCTGTTATTGCCTTCATCTTACACATGGGTGGGGTAGGGGGGAGAAGCCTGGAGTGTAACTCCTTCCCTCAACAGCTAGTAAATGGACACAAACCCAAACAATTGGGTTCTCTACTATTTTAATAAATAAATAAATAAATAAATAAATAAATAAATAAATAAATGTCATGGTTTCTATTGTCTGTTGTTTCTATTGAAACGAAGTCATTGTTTCAACGTTTTGGCGCCACTAGATTATTTCTTGAGAAAGTAGTATTCCCAGTATCTCCCTTTTGTGTAAAAGATAATCTTTCCAATGAATGGGAGGGGTTGCTACTGCTAGAAAGAAAGGAAAAAAAGAAATTAATGACAAATCTCATCACCTAGAGGTGATCTTCACTGGGGATTCCCAATTATCAACACTTTTTTTTTTCTTTTTTATCAGCAAACCTTGAAGAAAAAATGGGTGGAGTTCAGATCGCTGCAGTTACAGGAACAGCGTCTGCTTCATGGTAAATGTGATTTCCTGTTCAGAAACCGCAGTAACATTCATCTTTTTGGTATTTCTGCCTCTAAGTTGTTGTAAGATTATCATCATTATAAGAAAAAATTGTCTAGCGTGGATCAAGAATACTAGTCTGTGTTTTTGGCATGACCTTTGGAGTGACCTTTGTTTTCGGAGGGTGAGTAGGTCAAGTCATATCCCCTCCATGTATATACCACATATACACATGAAAACATGCACACACTCCCACGTGTGCACACATTTACAAGAGGCACCTGGAGATTTTAGGAGAGCAGTAAGAGTGATAGATAGCTTGATTTTCCTACCACTACAGTAGATGAATTCAATTTCTGAGAACGTTTGTGGCTCAAGGGTTGTGTAGTTCTCAGAAATTACTGAGGCTGGAATGGGAGCATGTTTCTTGGGTAGAGATCCTATCATTTGTTCATATTATCCAAGTTACATGAGTGCAGAGAAATGCCTCTTCATGGCCTGCAAACCTAAGACAGAAATACCAATGATCATTCTAACAGTAAATGCATGGCTCTTGCTGTTGTGTGAATTCTGAAGGGAATGGTTGAGTTTAAAATTTGTTGATTTGGGGTCACCTGGGTCGATCAGTCAGTTGAGTGTCCAACTCTTGATCTTGGCTCAGGTCTTGATCTCAGGTCTCACGTCATGAGTTCGAGCCCCGTGTCAAGCTCCATGCTGGGTACGGAGCCTGCTTAAAAAAATAAAATAAAAATTTGTTGATCTGACATTTGCTACGTGTCTGGTGTAGCCTAAGGAATGAACTTGTTTGTACAAATAATTCACTGAAACCACTAGCTATGTGGGTGTGAAATGTAGGTTATACCTTCTTAACACTGAGCTAAAGTCTCTATTTATAACCTAGAATGTTTGTTTCAAGTAATAATTTATTTACAGGAAAAAAAGATACATTTAATTCATAATTAAGCACTAATGTATGGCTTAGAGGTTTGTGTTTAAATTCTGTTTTTTTTTTAAATGAAACTTCTATATAAGTTACTTCTCTTTTGTATATTTTTAAATTAATATGCTAAAAAATTCTTAGTAGATTTTTGAGGGGTCTGAAGTTTCCTAGCCAGACAAAGGTATAAAATCCAGCCACTCCTGGATTTCTGTAGACCTGAGGGTGTTTGGGAAAACTTTTCCCCCATTTCTGGAACATTCTGGAGTGGAGATGGGGTTTGGCCTAATATATATAGGCAGTCCTGGGGTTCTATAGGAATAGCTTGTATAGACAAGGTCTTTAGTTCAAGATTAAGGGGAATGACTCTTCATTAAAGCCATTGTTGTACCCATTTTTTTGAGAGATTGAAGGAGTTCTGTAGTTTACTTTTCCTAGACGCAGAATAAATATACAGGGCATGAGATTCTTAATTGCTTTCCAATCAAAGGAATTCATCAACTCGTTGCCAGATGAAATAAGTAGGTTTTATTAGTAAAAAGGAAAGCATTCTGACTAGTCAGTGCAGAGCTGGCCGAATTTAACCTTGCAGATTAAGTGAAAAATCTGTCTCTTTTTGTATTGCTATTCAAGGACAAAGGAGAGCAACAATAGAGAAATAATCAGCACAAAGTAAAACCATTTCTGAGTGTGCAATGTTCTATTACTTTTCCTGAAGCAGAGTCACCTTCTAGACTGTCGTTCTCAGACTGGTATAACAAATAATTCCCTTCCTTTTAGTAGCATACCAGCCAGCTCAGATAGTACACAAGCATGTGGGGTAGGGACAGGATGTTGGTGTGCGATTAAAATTTGAGTTTGGGGAGCCCAGATATAGGTTATGAAAGGTTGATGAAAAAATTCAGCTAAGCAGATAAAACTCAACTTCCACAAATGAATTGTTATTTATTTGAGGACAGGGCTGTTTTCTGGGTATGGTACCATTCCAGAACATTTGAGTATTAAAGTATTCTAGGAAGAAGCATGGAATATTGAGGCTGGAAGATATCCTCTCTGTTTTAAACACCTTTGAATTCTCTATAATCAGCTTACGGGTGCAAGTTATATAACTGTGTTTCCCATACACTTCGAGTGATGTTATAATAATTTTATAATTATTTAAAAAATACAGTAACTGAAAATCAGAGGAACTTAATGGAGTAAGACGGCATTTTCTCAAGTATATTCTTTATTTTTTTTCCCAAGTATGTAGTTTAGAATGCAATTTCTGTGAGCACATTAATAGAAGGTTGCAGGGTCACTTCCGTTTAAGAAATGATACGTTTGGAGATTGACAAGTCACACTGGCATACTCTCAGAGGAGTTGACTGTTCTTATGTGAAGAATCTATTTACATTTATTTGATTTAGCATGACTATTTGTGACCGTGGAACAGTTTTACATGGAAGCCAGCCCATGAACAATGGTTTGGGAAACACCACTCTAAGGTTTTATCAAATGACCTCATAAAGAGTCATTTATTCATACGGGCGAAGCTCAGTGAAAAATATTCTTCACTTTTACTCTTTCTTTCCTGCACCGTTTAAAGAGAAATTTTGGTGTGTTTGCTTGTAGGGAGTGATACTCATATCCATTCCACAGTGGACTTTGTTTTCTGCCTTCCAGGTGACATAGGTAACTGCCCAAGTTTGGAAAACATGGACATAGATGAGTCGGTTTTGTTTGGAACTCTGCCGGGGCCAGGCCCAGCCCTCCTGGACCGGAATCGCCTATCCAGTGAGAGCAGCTGTCTGAGCTCCATGACGATGGACAGCGAGGACGGCTACCACACATGTGTGTCTGAGGACTCCAGCAGGGGAGGCTTCAGTCGACAGACGAGCACAGATGATGAGTGCTTTGTCCCCAAGGATGGGGACGATTTCCTGAAGAGGTCTTCTTCGAGGAGGAACCGGAGTGTTAGTACGGCCAGCAGTGGGTCCATGTCCCCCTTGTGGGAGGGCAACTTCTCAAACATGTTTGGGACCCTGCCCCGGAAAAGCAGAAGGGGAAGTGTCCGGAAACAGCTCTTAAAATTCATCCCTGGCCTTCACCGTGCAGTGGAAGAGGAAGAGAGTCGCTTTTGATGGGTTGTCCTGACCTTTCTTATTTCGTAAATATCTCTAGACTTGGTTAGACTAACTCCACCCAGCCTGGTGGGAAATTGCAGTTGGATTGCAAAACTGAAACCCCATACCATGACGATAGTGACCTTTATTTAAATTTTTGTATCATAAGGTTTGCTTCTTAAGTCATTTTTTGTAACCAGAAAAGCGCAGGTGATAAACAGAAAGTAGGGGAACTAGGTAATAAGTTGGATAAGATGACAAATTAAGCACATCCTTGCTTATCCTAATGCTGCCTGTGAAGACCAGGGTAATATTTATTTTCTAGATTGTGTGAGAATTGAGAACTTTTCAGTCAAGTGTAAATAAAAGAGTGATGGAATATAATTATTTGGGATACCTTCCGTAGGTTCATTGGTAGGTCATAAAACTTTGCTTAAGGTCAGTAGCCTCCAGGGAGGCTTAATAATAGGTCATTTTGAATGTTTCTGTTTCCATCTGTGAAGGATTATAAACAAAGAGGATCATCAGCTATTTTTCACATCCACAGCAACAATAAAGCAGGAAGTATGAGATACAATAAAGCAGGAAGTATAAGATTCAATATGAGGGTTTGGGATCCATGGGAACATGTTGTCTAAGATGGGTGCTGAGCAAGATTATGATAAGGGCTTTTTAATAGACAGCCTAAACAAAGTGGGTGAGAATGTCATTCTTACTTAATTCAATTTTTGTTCTGCCTAAACATTGATGGCAAGTCTAGAATTCTCAAGATCCTGCATACAGCTTTGTAAATTTTTTTTGGAGCAGATGTCTGAAATTTGAAAAATTAGAGCCAGGGAAAGGATTTTCCTCCTGTAGATTTTTTCACATTACTCCTCACTTTATGTTATATATTCCCAACAGTTATTGCCTCAGCACTCTTTTGCCTGTTGGTTATGTTGGTACCACATTACTTCTAGCCTTTCAATCACATTTTTATTCAGTACCCATTCCAGCCCATGATTTCTGTTCTGGTGATACAGCTGCTCATGACCTATATTCTAGAGTAGATAATGCAGACAATGTAATAAATAGTCCTTACTGATTTAAAGCTGTGTGTGTGTGTGTGTGTGTGTGTGTGTTTGGGAGAAATACAGACATTTGATAGGTGACTTTGAGTGTTACCACATTTAAATAAATTGAGTAAAGAATGAGTCATTTTGAGAAAAAAAAGGGGAGAGTAAGGAAGCTTGTAGGGTAAGAAATGAATATTAAAATAAAATATAAAAAGATTGCTAATTGCTACCTGCTGTCTTTTAATTATTTCAACTCCAAATTATCCAGTGCGCTCAGCTTTGGCATCATTCATATGAAAAGCAGGGTGAGGTGTTTTGAAGGAACAATAACAATGCTATCTACCGTTTACTGAATACCTAGCAGGTTAAAGATGCTTCCCGTTGATCCTAAAACAACCCTGTTAGGTGGGTGTTAACCATACATAAGGAGCAGGAGTTTGGAGAAGTTCCCACGGCCAGTGGCATGGCTGAAATTGGAAACCAGTTCTTTCCGACTCTGGCCTAGTCTCAGTCTCTCTAGATACTGTTTACTCTTTCGCGGGTTCTGTGTGGTCATCCCTACAGGACTTCCTCCCATCCCCCACCCCCCCACCCGTCATGGAATACTTAAAACACACAATTGTAGATACTGCATGGATAAAAAATGTCTTTGGTTAATAAGGGAACAAACAGACATTTAGAATGACTCTTTCTCTTGGCCCCCACAAGCAAGTTTTCAAATACAGGCACATTAATAACTGCATGATTAACAATACATTTATTTTCAACAAAGCCTTGCAAGTCCAAGTTGTGACTGGACTGACACTGCTTATTTCCCATCTTAGACTAGAATTATCATGTTAAAAATCTGCTTCTGTGAACGCAACATATCTTGTTAATCCCATCTTGCCAAATCCAGGGGAAAGAAAGAATCACATTTATTTGAGGAAAGGTGACTTTAAATTCTTCTACAACATGATCAGGGTTTCGAAAACTTCCACAAGTCATCTGAGAAAGCAGATTATAGGTCATTTGCTTTTCTCATGGCTTGAAGTGTTAAATATAGTGTAATTCTTCCTCCTTACAGTAAATATCAAACTCAAAAAGGTGAAGGGAAGGGACAGAGCAAGTTTCACTGTAGTCTGAGGTAAGAAGCATTAGAGTCAAGAGTTTGAGATGTTCTGGAAAAAAAGAAAAGCAGTTTTTAACCAAAGTACAGGAAGGAAGGGTATGTCATGTTTTGTGTGTTCACAAGTTGTAAGAAAACTAGTTATTGTTAGTGGAAATGTGGGTAAATTTCTCACAGCACAGCTTTTCAGACTATCTGACCTCAGTGGGAGTTGAGAAGATTTCATTTCTCTAATCTTCTGGGGCACAATGACTCACTTTGATGTAACTTACTGGGAAATGAATTGAAAAGTGAAGTGTTTTGTTTTTTGCTTACGCCCAAATTGTCAAATGTGTGATATTGGTGGATTTCATTAATTGACAATTGGCTATGAAAATGCACTTTTGTAGCATGGCATTGATAAACCAAATTCGAATCAAGCGTATTGAGAATTACTCTGTCCTGTGGCTGAAGGAACACCACCCACCATGTCCAACAGGTTGGTGCTCTACTTTTTGAAATGATCTTTTATTCGTCACTTTCTACTTTGCAGTACTTTTATATCTTAGTTGCATGTACAAACAGTATTAAAAATCCTAGTTTGAACTGAAAAAATCAAACTTGGGTACAGTTTGTGTGTACTGATCATGTAAGTATTTATGGATGTATATAATCTAAGTATAGTAAATAATACATAACAACTATATTGAACCCTTCAGATCACAAGATCATTGGTACTTTATATCCATTTCTTTACAGAAATATGGGCAATAAAAAAAGTTGATACCTTTCTGAAATAAAGAATGCTATTTTTCAGTGTCAGATCTCTCTTCTCTCCCTTTCTCTCCCTCTGCCCCATCTCTCTATCTCTCAGTCTCTATCTCTTTACCTACTTATCTTAAATGAAATGATAGTTTTCAAGGCAGATTTTTAAAAAAATCTGGGGCGATATCTTGATACCTCCTCTTTGAGGTTTTTATTTATTTTTTTATTTTTAAAATTTAATTTAATTTTATTATGTTAGTCAAAAAGGCATGACCTATTTAATTGAGGCTTTGCACTTGTATTAGTTTTCTGATGCTTAACAAATTACTACATACTTAGAGGTTTAAAACACATTTATTACCTCAAAGTTTCTGTGGGTGAGGTGTCTGGGCAAATCTTAGCTGGGTCTGCTCAGGGACTCATGAGGCTGCAGTCAAGGCATCACCCAGCGTTGAACTCTCCCCTGGAGGCTTGCCTGGGGAACGATACGCTACCAAGCTCCCTCAGGTTGTGATCAGAATCATTTCCTTGTGCCATAGGATTCGTGGCAGTTTGCTTAGTAAAAGCCAGTAATGGAAAGAGAGAGACTGCAAGCAAGACAGTCTTAAATAATGCCATGTAAACAAACTGACGGTTGCTGGAGTGGGGGGTGGGGTGGGAGAGATGGGTGACTGGGTGATAGACACTGGGGTGGGTATGTGCTCTGGTAAGCGCTGTGAATTGTGCAAGACTGTTGAATCTCAGATCTGTACCTCTGAAACAAATAATGCAATATATGTTAAGAAAAAAAAAAAGAAGAAGAAGATAGCAGGAGGGAAAGGATGAAGGGGGAAATCGGAGGGGTAGACGAACCATGAGAGATGATGGACTCTGAAAAACAAACTGAGGGTTCTAGAGGGGAGGGGGGTGGGAGGATGGGTTAGCCTGGTGATGGGTATTGAGGAGGGCACGATCTGCATGGAGCACTGGGTGTTATGCACAAACAATGAATCATGGAACACTATATCTAAAACTAATGATGTAATGTATGGGGATTAACATAACAATAAAAATAATAATAAAAAGAAAAAGAAAAGAGCAAAAAAAAAAAATAATGCAATGTAACCACAGGAGTGACATCTTCTCAACTTTGCCACATAGCAGAGCATAATGACACAAGTAAGAGCCTACCAACTATGCCATATTCCGTTTGTTAGACACAAATCATAAAATCCATCCACACTCAAGGAGCAGGGATTATGCAAGTTCATGAACATGAAGAGGCAGGGATCAAGGAGGTACCTTAGGATCTGTTCACAACATCATTCAAGGAGTTCACAAACTTGATAATATATTGAGTCTTTTCTAAACTCCTTTGAACAAATATAAATGGTGGATGTTATAATTTTTAATAGAGAAGTAGTAAGATCTCTGATATTAAAGAACCTGGCCAAGATTGTATAACTAGCCAAAATGCTGAGTAGGAAACTGAATCCAGGTCTCCTGACTTTGTCCCTCAAGTGCATGAAATGATAGGAAATTTTAAAAGAATATTAAAGTGTGAGCTAGTTACTTGCCTTAAAATTCTTCTCAGGGAATTTGAGTGTATTTAAGTGAATTAGTGATTGGCATGATGAAATTTATCACTTCTATATGGGTACATCTTTATGAGCACAGGACAGGAATTCCACAGAAAAACAAAATAAAATTCTCATAATCAAAACTACAATGCACAAAAGGAAATGATCAACCATGAGGAAAAATCAGGAGGTAGCACAAATATCAGAATTATCAGAACCAGAGAAAATAAAGCAGTTTGAAAGAATATAGATATGTATTTCTTAGGATAGAGGATAAATAAAGAACATATGCAAAGAACATGTGCAACCCAATAAAGAACATATGCAAATATCATAATGGTGAGAAACAGGCTCCTTTCTCCCCAAGATCAAGTACAAACCCAGGATATCCTCTCACTACTTTTATTTACCATTGTGCTGAAAGTTTTAGCCAGTGTACTAAGATAAGGAGAGGAAACAAAAGTTATACAAAGTGAGAAGGAAGAAATGAAACTGTTTTTGTTTGCTGATGACACTATTGTCCATCTGGAAAATCATGAAGAATCAACAACAAAAAAAAAATCCTGAAAGTAATAAGTGAGTACAACAAGGTCACAATATAAATTACTATACAAGCAATGAACAACTGGGATTTGAAATTAAACAAACAGTAACTTTATAATAGTACCCCCAAAATGAAATGCTTAAATATAAACCTGACAAAATATGTACAGTATCTATATGTGAAAAACCCCAAAACTTTGTCCAAGAAAATCTAAATAAATCGAGAGATATTCTGTGTTCATGGATTGGAGGACTTAAGAGTGTTAAGGTGTGACTTCTTAACTTAATCTATAGATTTAGCGAATCCCAATCAAGATTCCAGTAAACTATTTCATAGACCTTGACAAACTGATTCTAAAGTTTATATGGAAAAGCAAAAGACCTAGAATAGCTAAAGTGAGGAAGAAGAAGGAGAAGGAGGAGGAGGAGGAAAAAGAGGAGGAGAAAGTTGGAGGAATCACAATATTCAATTTCTAGACTTTCTATAAATCTACAATCATTAAGACAGCATGGTATTGGCAAAATACAGCATATAGATCAACAGAACAGAATAGAGTGCCCAGAAATCAACCCATACAAATACAGCCACTGACCTTTGACAAAGGAGTAAAGGAAGTTAAATGGAGAAAGGACAGAGGTTTCAACAAATGGTTCTTGAACAATTGGCCATCCATATGCAAGACCTTACACATTTCACAAATTATAGACCTATCTATAAAACATAAAAGTATAAAACTTCTGGAAGATAACATAAGAGGAATCAAAATCAGTTTGGTTATTGAATATTGGGTTTGGTGATGAATTTTTAGGTACAATAAAAGGATGATTTATGAAAGAAAAGGTTGATATATTGTACTTTATTAAAATTTTAAAAAAATCTGCTTTGGGAAAGATACTGTAAAGAAAATAAAAAGGCATAGATTGAGAGAAAATATTTGCAAAAAGCATATTTGAAAAAGGGCTTGTGTGCAAAATATAAAAAGAACTTCAAAATTCAAAAATAAGAACACAAGCAATGTAAGTAAAACATGTTCAAAATATCTGAACAGACACATCTCCAAAGATAATACATAGATGGCAAATAAGTGCATTGAAAGAATGCAGTATCATTTATCATTTGGGATTTGCAAATTAAAACAACGAGATACCACTATATGGCTGTTAGGATGACTGAAATCCCAAACACTGACAATGACAATTCATAGCAAGGATGTGGAGCAACAGAAATGCTCTTGCATTGCTGGTGGGAATGAAAAATAGTACAGCCACTTTGGAAGAGAGTTTGGCATCTTTTTTTTTTTTTTTTATAAAGTTAAAGATAGCTTTACCATACGGTTCAGCAATTGTGCTCCTAGGTATTAACCCAACTGACCGAAAACATATGTTCACACAAAAATCCCCACACAGTTGTTTGTAGCAGCTTTATTCATAATCACCAAAAATTGGAAGCAACTGACATGTCCTTCAATAGGTTAATGGATAAACTGTGGTATATCCTTATAATGGAATATGATCCAGGTCCAAAAAAATGAGCTATCAAGACAGGAAAAGACATGATGAATCTTAAATGCATGTTGCTAAATTAAAGAAGCTATTTGGAAAGAGTTATTATTATATGATTCCATTTACATGACATTCTGAAAGAGGCAATACTATAGCAATAGTAAATAAACCAGTGGTTTCTGGGGGTCTGGGGGTAGGATGGAATGATGTGTGTTTGGAGAAAGTTGAAGAGATGGAGCCCTGGTGAGTTTTATAGAGTTGTCTAAGTTTAGTTGGTCTACTGATATAAAATACTGCAGACTGAGTGGCTTAAACAATAGAAATTTATTTTCTCACAGTTTTGGAGGCCGGCTGCTCAGCAGCAGAGCTGGGGTGGGGGTGGGGGTGGAATGGCCATTCAAGGACAAAACAGCCATCTGCAAGCCAGGAAGAGAACTCTCTCCAGAAACCAAACCCTGTGGAACCTTAATCTTGGACTGGATCTGGAATCATCATCCGGAACTGTTAGAAAACTATTGTTTAATCCAGGATTGAATGCAGAATGGGACAAGACATTCTCAATGTATTGCTAATATATGAAACAGCCTACTTAAGAAAAATAGAAGGACTTTGGAAATGATTAGAGTCTGTAACTTAAAGGCAAAAGAAACCATACATAAACATTGTCATCCATTTGAGAAAATTGCTTCCCACCGGGGT